AAGAGTGGAAGCCTAAAGATAGAAAGCTATTAAAGTCACCCAGGAGAGAGATCAAGGAGGCCCACTCAGACTTAGGGAGGCAGGTGAGGGCATGAAGGAAAGCTGACAGATTGGAGAGAAATTCAGGAAGCAATGGCTGGTGTGGTGATGGGAGTGAGGAGAGGGAGGTGTCAAGGATGACACTGGTTTCTGGTTTGTGTAACACAAGGTAACAGCAACACAGAGGAGCTTGGGAACCGTGGGCAAGGCCTGGCGTGGGTAGGGAGAGGGCAGGGTTTAAGATCCGGTCTGGAATTTGATCTGGGTGTTGATGGCACAGGTGACCTGTGGGGCACCCAGCAGAGACACCTGTCAGGCACTCAGGTGGGTGTAAATGTTTAGCATTTGGGAGTGGCTGGGTTAGAGATCACCAGGAGACTTAATTATATTTTCACATCAATTCTAGGAACATCTACCACTATATTCTCCACTCATTATTGAACATTTTCTAATATATATTGCTAAGCTGACTCTAACAAGGCACAGAATAGTATGCACAGCACAGATGCCACCATTTCTACATAAAGAAGGTGGTGGGGGTAGAAGACAGTGATATATAAAACCAATCAGAAAGGATACCCAAGAGATTGGTAGTACTGACTGTCCTGAGTGGCTGGGAGGCAGGGCTGAGACTTCTCACTGCAGGCCTTTGAATCTTATACTAAATAGAATTATTATCTAATTAAAAGATAAACAAAATTTAAAGAGAGAAAAATGAAATGGACTGTTTAGGGAGCTGAGAACTTGAACAACCCTGCAAAAAGGCGGCAATCAATGCAATGAGCTGATCAGAGTTTCTATATTAAATGCTGTTGCTTCCCAAGCGAACGATTTTATCTGTTCCACTAACCACATCCCTGTCAGTAAACAGAGGCTAAGTCAACAGTGATTTAATTATTACACACCAAAATGTAAAGCAGCATCAACCCCATTTTTTAAAATATATTTTATAGATTTTTTACAGAGAGAAAGGGAGAGAGATAGAGAGTTAGAAACATCGATGAGAGAGAAACATCAATCAGCTGCCTCCTGCACACCCCCTACTGGGGATGTGCCCGCAACCCAGGTACATGCCCTTGACCGGAATCGAACCTGGGACCTTTCAGTCCGCAGGCCGACGCTCTATCCACTGAGCCAAACCGGTTTCGGCAGCATCAACCCCATTTTTATTTTATTTGTTAAAAAATATGTTTTTTTAGGTACCCAAATTGGAAAAGAAGTAAAATTGTCATTATTCACAGATGACATGATATTGTACATAGAAAACCCTAAAGACTCCATAAAAAACCTACTAGAATCAATAAATGAATTCGGCTATGTTGTAGGATACAAAATGAACACCTAGAAACCTATGGCTTTTTTAAAAAATATATATTTTATTGATTTTTTACAGAGAGGAAGGGGGAGAGGGACAGAGAGAAACACAGATGAGAGAGAAATATCAATCAGCTGCCTCCTGCACACCCCGCACTGGGGATGTGCCCGCAACCAAAATACATGCCCTTGACCGGACCGGAACCTGGGGCCCTTCAGCCTGCAGGCCGACGCCCCATCCACTGAACCAAACCGGTTAGGGCACCTATGGCTTTTTTATACACCAATAATGAACTCACAGAAAGAGAAACTAAAAAAAAAATCCCATTTATCCCTTAAATCCCAAAAATCCCTTAAAAAAATTAAGATATCTAGGAATAAATTTAACCAAGGAGGTAAAGGACCTGTACTCAGAAAATTACAGGACGCTGAAAAAAGAGATAAAGGAAGACATAAACAAATGGAAGAATATACCATGTTCATGGACTGGAAGATTCAACATCATTAAAATGTCCAAAGCAATATATAAATTCAATGCAATCCCCATTAAAATACCAATGGCATACTGCAAAGACCTAGAACAAACTCTCCAAAAATTCATCTGGAATAAAAAAAGACCCCGAACAGCTGCAGCAATCTTGAGGAAGAAAAACAAAGTTGGAGGGATCACAATACCAGATATCAAGCTATACAACAAAGCCACTGTTCTCAAAACTGCCTGGTACTGACACAACATAGAAATAGAACGAACTCGCCAAAAATTCATCTGGAATAAAAAAGACGCCGAATAGCTGCAGCAATCCTGAAAACGAACAAAGTAGGTGGGATCTCAATACCAGAAATCAAGCTGTATTACAAAGCCACTGTTCTCAAAACTGCCTGGTACTGGCACAAGAACAGACATATAGATCAATAGACTACAACAAAGAACACAGAAATTGACCCAAGCCAATTATGCTCAATTAATATTTGACAAAGGAGGCAACAGCATACAATGGAGTCAAGACAGTCTCTTTAATAAATGGTGTTGGGAAAATTGGATACATGCAAAAAAAAAAAATGAAACAAGACCACCAACTTACACAAACCACAAAAATAAATTCAAAATGGATAAAGGACTTAAACCAGTAAGAAGGGGAAACCATAAAAATCTTAGAAGAAGCCATAGGCAACAAAATAGCAGACATTTGTTGTAGTAATATCTTTACCGATACAACTCCTAGGGCAATAGAAACTAAGGAGAAAATAAACAAATGGGACTACATCAAAATGAAAAGCTTCTGCACAGCAAAAGAAACCATCAACAAAACAACAAGAAAGCCCACTGTATGGGAGAACATATTTGCTAATGTTATCTCCAATAAGGGCTTCATCTCCAAAATTTATAGGGAACTCATACAACTTAACAAAAGGAAGATAAACAGTCCAATAAAAAAATGGGCAAAGGACCTAAATAGACACTTTTCGAAAGAGGACATACAGAAGGCCAAGAGACAGTACAGAAACACTAGAGGCCTGGTGCACGAATTCATGCATAGGTGGGGTCTGGCTGGCTAGGGGAGGGGACGCAGGAGGTTGGTGGGCTGGGGCCGCCCCTTGGTCAAACTCCTGGTCAAAGGGACAATTTGCCTATTGGGCTTTTATTATATAGGATACTCAAAGTCACTAATCATCAGAGAGATGCAAAGCAAAACAACAATGAGGTAGCACCTCACACCTGTCAGAATGGCTATCATCAACAAATCAACAAACAACAAATGCTGGAGAGGATGTGGAGAAAAAGAAACCCTCTTGCACTGCTAGTGGAATGCAGACTGGTGCAGCCACTGTGGAAAACAGTATG